CTCAGTGGGTTATTTAATGCCGGCAAAATTTTCATTGCTGGTAATGTTTTTCTTCAAAAATCTATTTCTGGGAATATTTTTCCTTGAAGAAATCTATAGCTGGTCATATTTTTTCCAAAGAATCTATAACTGTTTGTATTGCTGGTATTTTTTTAAAAAGTATTGCTGATAATCATTTTTTCTTCAAAAATTATTGCTGGTAATAATTTTTTTATTACAAAGTATTTCTGGTATTAAAACCTACTTTTACACAAGTTTGGGTGCTATTTGCCCATAGCTGGGACCCTAACAGGTGCTACCACCCCGGGTCAGGGTGGACCTGGGAACACCAGCAATTATAAGCTGGTTCCACGCTCCTCAAAACCTCCTGATCAGAGGCCTTGCTGCTGGATGTAGTTTATCGTCTTACCCAGGACGCGGATGTAGTTTATCATCATACCCAGGGCGGGAGTAATCAGAATTACAGTAGATAGCGATTGAAATTGCATTTAAATTTTTGCAGATTAGAGTTAGCTGGAAATCATGGAGCCGGAAAGGAGAAGTGCGAGAAAAGAGACTGTTAGCATAGAATTTACGGCTACATCAAGCCAGCTCAACTGAAAATTGATGAGATTTCGACGCTAGCCTAGTACTGCGCTTAAATTAAAAGAATGTCTACGTACCCTAGAGAAGAGCTTACCCAAAACAATCACCATGAAAGTCTTTATAGAAAAAAACACAGAGTGGCAACCTTACGTGACTGAAGCCGAGACGCCAGATCAGTACCAATAATATTGCTGATTCTTCTTTGGATTTGCAGCTGACATGGCACTGTATTCAGTATAGTCTTTCCGCTTCATGTCCACTGAGAACGTTAGCTCGAGAAGGGGCAACAAGTCACTTTCCTGAAGGTTAGCATCAGCCATGCTGATGGAAGGCAGAGAAAGGTCTCGGAGATGATTAATGGAGAGAAGTTTCGTTTTGAAGGCTTTAAATTTAAGAAGCCATCTTTTGCTCCATTTAACTATGGACTTGAGGTTGTCATTTTTTTTTTATCGAAAATTAATATATTAATGTATTTATAGCTAGTGAAGATGTAATACTAAAAAACAAAAAGAAAAAAAAAAGTGATACGATACACATTTCCAGGACTCGAATAAAAGGTAAGGGTGGAATAAACGAGGGTGGATGAGGAAATCCTTCTCAAAATTTAATATTTGTGGAGAGTTTTGAATAAGCAGAGTTCAGAAGAATCTGTGGAGAGGGTGGCATTCGTCTTGAATTTAATTTCTTTGAAAGAATTTAATAAGCGTGGGAGTAAGAACGAGGGTTGGAATTTTTTAAAAAGTTAATAAACGGGTTCGGGGAGCAATATTATAGAGCCAAGAGTATCTATAGACACACTCTTATAAGTCTGTAAAAAGCTCTTTGATAATGGATAATGAAAGCCAGGAACACTCTGAAGACTTTAAACACAAAGCCATGGTCTTTTGAACAAAAAGTTGAAACCTGTCATTGTAACGAATATAAAAGTTATAAAGACAATATTAAAGCAAAATTTTAAGTTCCATGTTCTTTTAGAAAAGGTTCATCTTTTGATTTTGTGAGCTGTTATATTTTTTTTATATTCATAACTGACTGATAGCATCCAGAATGGCATCCCAAAGTTGGTAACTTTATCTTCACCAATCTAAACCTTTCTTTCCAGAGGGGTACACAAATTTTCAATGGGGGTAAAGTCGAGCGAACAAACCAGGCACTTTCTGAAATGTTTGTAAACCTGAATTATTCGACAGTTCATTTTTAACGTCGAATGTAACGAAACACTGTTTTGGCCTAAAAAAAAACTGTCTTTCTGAAAGCGTTATGCTTCTCGAACCATACTTTTATGGGTGCCTCCAAAAAATCACTGTTTGTCTGAGTTGTCAGTGCAACACCATCTTGGACACCTATAATTTAGCTCCAAAGCATTAAGCAACCTCAGTTTTGTTTATCGGTGAGAAGGTTTTCCTACGGTATTAACTCCACCTTTGTTCCGTGCGTTTGGGATATTGAATGAAATTTACCTCATTCGTCAGTGAAAGGAAGAGTAAAAGAAACTGAAAACAAAAAAAACTTAATTTACTCCATTGCCATCTAATTTTCCTTACAGATTTCATTTTAGGGAAGTCTTGTCATTTCTCTCACATGTTTTGCCGCTTGATTAATACGCAACCGTTAAGTAATTGTTGTAATGGAATGTCCCACGCTCCCTATCGTCTATGTCGACTAACGAGATATATATAGAGCACAGGATATACCTAGAGGCATGCTTGGGCAATTAGAGATTCGTCTCTAGCTAAGCTGGTCGAACTCTCTGCCCGAAGGCAGAGAGGAACTCAGACGAGGCTATGCCGAAGGGCAGAGTCCTGTCTGGAGTGGTAGACAGCTACCAGACCCCATTTTTTACGGGGTCTACGGGGAAGTTTGCCCGAGCATACGGGCTCGGATACCCCACGTTAAATTCGGCCTTGTGCCACATCTGACCTCATGGGCCGGTTGAGATTCGTCTCCAGCTGTGCTAGTCGAACTCTGTGCCTTCGGGCAAATAGGAACCCAAACGATGCTCTGTCGAAAGGGCAGAGTCTCGTCTGGGGCGGTAGACAGCTATCTGACTCCGTTTTTTTACGGGGTCTACGGAGAATTTTTGCCCGAGTCCACGGGCTCGGTTTTAACCCTACATTAAAAACGGCCTTGTGCCACATCTTGCCTCGCGGGGAGGTGAGGTAAATAACATTCCTTCGGCAATTAGTTGGAGATTCGTCTCCAGCTAAGCTAGTCGAACTCTCTTCCTTCGGGCAGAGAGGAACCCAGACGACGCCATGCCAACGGGCAGAGTCTTGTTTGGGGTGGTAGACAGCTACCCGAACCCGTTTTTTACGGTGTCTATGGAGAAATTTTGCTAGAGGCCACGGGCTCGGTGTTGACCCTGCATAAAAAACCACCTTGTACCACATCCTGCCTCGCGGGGAGGTAAGGTAAATGTCCTTGCTGCGGGAATTATTAGCCTGCCACACGATTCCCTGTATTTCAGTAGTATATTCTCTTTTACAATAAACCTCTCTTTCTTTCATCTACGCGTGTTTTTCTGTTCCTTCACTCGAGTACCACCTTTAACGATACAACAATAATTATGATTATTATGTAGTAAGTAAAGAACATCTATATATATTTTCAAACTGTTAAGCTATTTAAAGGAGACGTTTATTTATCAACTACAAAATTTTATGTAGGAAGCTGACGGAGCATATAACTAGTTAGAATTTTGTTAAATTACCTCCTTATCTCTTTCGGTTTTACTTCTTAGGAAAGTTGAACACTAAACTTCTATCAGTTCAGTTATGTGCCATGCGTGATACACGCTTAGGCGATCATGTATCTTTTGATACATGACTGACGAGGCAGAGTTTTTCTCCGCAGGTAGGTTGCCATTTCTTTCTGCGGTAGACAAGTTATGAGGTTTTAGGCTTCAAAATTTCAACATTGTTTAACTTTTGTGATCGTACAGGAACTGATGTGACCATAAGCCTGAACCTGAGTGGACAGTATACTGGCCACTGTGCATACCGTACTCCTCAGAGGGTCAGGGTTGAAAGGGTTAGTTTAGTTTGGTTTATTTTGTTTTACGGCATATCAACCTCAATGGGTTATTTAATACTGACAAGATTTTTAAGATAGTTTCATATGAATAGAATATATATTTTTTGTAAGAAATCAGTTTGTAGATCAGGTTTCATTGACATATTTTTGTAAAAAGTCAAATGTATTGCTGGTAATTTTTTTTTTTAAATGTATTGCTGGTAATATTTCTTTTTTCAGAAATATATTGCTGCCACTTTTACTACAAAAACTTATTTTTACACTTTCATAGTGGTAGTTTTGACCCAAGTTTGGGGTTTAACTATTTGCCCATACCTGGTACCCTAAAGGTGCTACCACCTTGGGTCAGGGGTGGGCCTGGGAACAGCAGCAATTAAAAGGTGGTTCTGTACTCCTCAAAACTTCTTGATCAGAGGCCCTTGCCAGATGTAGTTTATCATCATACCCAAGATGCTTCAAAGGTTAAAAGTTAACTTTCTAAATACAGACCTTCTACTGAGGAACATTCTAAAAATGAGAAAACATTATTCCTTTATTCAATAAACTAATATTTCTATGTAATTTTATTAAAAAATAATAATTGTATATGCTTTGCTATTCAAGACCAGCATTTTCATCTTGGTGTTTTGGCTATTGTGCTCTCTGATAGCAACACCCATGGAGAGAAATCAAGATAATAGACAGAGAATAACACTGGAGGATAGGATATGAATGAATCACTGAAAACCTCCTCAGTAGACCTAGCAGAGAGATAAATAACATCTGGGAAGCTTGATTAAGAAAGTACATTCAACAAAAATTTCATCACCTGAGTCAGGACACTCAGAGTTGCACCCACTGACTGCAGATATGAGGTTTTAGGCTTCAAAATTTCAACAGTAGATTGTCCAAAAGACACATAGATAAAAATAAATGAAAGCATTGATTAAAACATATCTAGTTTCCTGGTATTAATGAGTACAATCCTTGAGTCTGGCAGTACTGAAAAGTTAAATGCTTTGATTTAGCAGAAGGAAGGAACTGGTTGCACAAAGGTGACTAAAACTGATATGAAATGTCCTCCAAGTATGGAAAGCATAATTGAGAAAAATCTATCACCATAGATTGAATAAAGGGTTTAGTTTGAGATTCAAAAAAGTGTATAAAATATAAACACATGAAGAAGGTCAGATAGTATAATGGCTGAAACACGAGTATAATAATCAAGATGAACAGACTGGTTCAAATCGAAAAGTATATAATGATGATGATACCTCATTTCAAAGAGTCCTACAAACATTGTGAGTATAACAATCAAGATGAACAGACTGGTCCGAATAGAAAAGTATATAATGATGATGATACCTCATTTCAAAGAATCTAAAAAAAGTATAACAATCAAGATGAGCAGACTGGTCCAAATCGAAAAATATAATGATGATGATACCTCATTTCAAAGAGTCCTACAAACAAGATAATAATCAAGATGAGCAGACTGGTCCAAATAGTGAAGCATATAATAATGATAATTCCCCATTTCAAAGATTCCAACAATGTAAGTATAATAACTAAGGTGAACATGCAGAAGAACATATAATAATGATAATACATCATTATAAAAAACTATCACAAAAATAATAGTCATCAGTGATGTGTCATGTGTGATACATGCTTTAGCAATCATGTATCTTTCGATGCATGACTGATGAGGCAGATTTTTTCCTGCAGTAGGTTGTTATTTCTTTCTGGTGTTGACCAGTTGCCATCCATGGCTAAAGAACCCTGTCTGTCCTGCTATTTACTCATAGCTGGGGTGTGGGAAGAAGAGGGTTCATACCTTTCCCAAGGGTATTAACACGTAATTGAATTTCAGTCAGTTATGTGGCATGCGTGATACACGCTTAGGCGATCATGTATCTTTCGATGCATGACAGATAGATTGCCATTTCTTTCTGCTATTTACCCATGAAGAAGAGGATTCACACGTAAGTGAATGTAATTCGAACTCGGCTCTCTGTCTCCTCAATCTGAGTCGCTATCCATTACTCCGCCGTGCAAACTTCTATACATCTTACTGAATAATGTAACCATTTGTATCTGTCCATAATGAAATTGTCTAGGATTTATATGCTGACAACTTCGTGTCATGACCTATATTAATTTTTTTTTTTTAATTTAGTGTACGTCACATTCGATTAGTTTGATCACGGGAAAGCCCAGAAGCCTATTTTTAATTGTTTTTTTTTCTCGAAAAAAGAACTATTTTGCTTTTAAAAATAAATTAATCGTTCACTCTCCCGAGGTGACATATTTGTAGTGTCGGAACGTAATTGCCATTGTGCAGCGATTTTTTTAAAAGCTTTTGTTTTAATATCCAAATATATATATAGTAATCACATACAAACCTGTTTCGCTGTATCACAGCTCCTCAGTGTGGCTAGACGTCTGGTTCCTTCAAGTCGGGATCATAACTCGACCGATTTGGCATCAGTCAAAGATCTTACCCCTAAGGTATCGGCGCACGACAGAGAAAGGGATTTTTTTTTAACGTATTGTATGTGGAATGTATCATATTTCTTTGTGGCCGATTGGTAAGGCACGTCAGCGTAAATGACGGTTCCGTATAGGATACAGGTTCGAATCCTGTCAAAGAACGAATATTTTCTATGAAAATTTCTCGGACATTCAGGCCGGTAAATGTTATTTAATACTGTTTATCATAAACAGAGCATTTACTTAAATACTTGTATCTATAAAAAACAACGTTAAACATAAAAAAATGTCTTTAATGAATAAATTGTCGGACCTTGTCCATTTCTTAATATATATATATATATATATATATATATATATGTGTGAAAAGTGTATATAAATATAAATAAATATAAGTATGTATAATTATTTATATATTATATGCGCGGTACTTATTAGAAAGCGCTCAATATCAGAGATAGAGCTAATATATTTGTTGATTGATGTGAGTTTAGACCTGGGTTTCTCCTTTAGCGATCGTCAGATTGTCTGACGATCGCTAAAGCGTGAAACCCGGGGTCACAAACTCACATCTATCCAACCAAATATATATATATATATATATATTGTCTTTTTTCTTTGTTGTCTTTAGTTTTATTATTCGCCCTTTTCATTTTGGCATAGCCTCTTAAAATATTTAGTTTTCAGTTTACTACTTCTTTCTTTCTTTCTTTCTTTCTTTCTTTTCTTTTCTTTTCTTTCTTTCTTTCTTTTTTTCTTTCTTTCTTTTTTCTTTCGCTGTTTCTTTCTTTCTTTCTTTCTTTCTTTCTTTCTTTCTTTCCACCCACTAGACGAAACATTCTGGCATATTTCTTTGCCATTTGATGTCCACCCCCTTTTGATCCACCCGAATTTCCCCCGTACTCTCACCTGCATCCTCTACCCCAACAGAAACACCTGCATTTGCATGCAAGCCAAAAGTTTTCATGTCAGCAGTTTATGCAAAACACTGAAAAAAATCGTGATTTTCTATCACTTTCATCTTCCTTTTCTTTTTAGTTCCATTCAAACAGCAAGCAGACAAAGAAAGTCTGACACTTGCAGGTGAGGTTTAACTTCTATAGCGTTGGTCGCTTACCTGCGAGGAATTGAATTTAAGGGTCTTAATCAGGTTTACTTGACCAGGTTTACTTACATAATTTAAAAGTTTTCGCCAACATCATTTGCTTAATAGAATCTTATCGTGAAAACATCGACTTGCACAAAAAATTCTGTCTTTTTAAAAATCGTTTCACCCCAAGCAAGGTGATAATGCTACTCGAACGCGGGGGTTGACATGGAGGTGAATTGAATAAGAAGAGACTTTAGCGATGAGGAGTGAGGAAAACACAATAAAGGAACAGGGTCTAGGAAGACATAAGATGGCGACTGACATTGAATCTAATTTTTTGAAGATTGTAGTTATCGGGGAAGCAAGAAATCAGAAGGGATTTCCACAGCTGAAAATCGCAAGAAAAGAAACTGTTATAGTAGAATTGGCGGTTGATTCTAGATGGTTCAATAGTAAAATGGCGAGACCTAATTGCCAATCTAGTAGTAGTTGGGAAAAGACAGAGGGAAGCCACGTCACGTCGGTGAGAAATTGATTGAAATCAAGACGCTTGGTCAGGATCGATTATGTTTCAGATCCTTCTTTGGATTTTGTCAAGAACCTCGAGATAAGTAGCAGGAGCACCAGACCAGATGTGACAACAGTATCCAATGTACGGAGAAACTAATCTGAATGCGAATCAGTTTAGCGAAGGATGGTTTTTAGAAACTAAAAAAGATCGAAAGAATTTCGTGAGAAACGAAGAAAATAGTACTCGAGTGCTAATGTTTTTTTTTATTGTTTCATCCCAAGCAAGGCGATAAAGCCACTCAAACGCATATGGTGACACAGAGTTAAAGAATTTAGGAAGAGACTTTAGTGATGAGAATTGAGGAAAGGACAATAAAAGAACAGGGTTCAAGAAGTGTTGAAACTTGACTAATGCATGGAATAATAATGCAACACAAAATGTACTTACAACAAAATGTATTGAAACAAGAAAGTGTACACAATATTTACATATAGTCTTTTGTATATTCCTGGTAAGACCGTTCCTGGAGAATGTGTTGACTGAGTCGCAGTCGGGCAGAGTCTCTGGTTGAATCTCTTGATTCCTCCCTCTCTTCCCGGTACCAACCATATTTATATGGTCGGTACTCCACTATGCAAATTAGGTGGATCCTACCACAACAAGAAGAGAGAAGATTGCGAATGACATTGAATTTAATATTTTGAAGATTGTAGCTGGCAGTGAAGGATGAAAGGAAGTTACACAGGTGAGAAGTACGAGAAAATAAACTCTTAGAATAAAAGTGACGGTTGCATCTAGTTATTTCAACAGTGAGACCAAGTTTTGAGATGCCAACGAGCAATCGTTGTCACTTTTGTGATGTCGACGAATACTCGTTGTTACTTTCGTAATGCTCGTTGTAGTAGAGACTTTGTAATCGCAGATACAATAGTAACGACGTTGAACAATACTGGTGTCAGACGCCTTCTAATGACACTCGTACTAATAGTCCTTGATTGATAATATTCGCTCGAATAGTAATTACCGTATAGTGATCCAAATAGAGAAATAGTATAGTGAATAGAGTAGAGAATATATATTAATAAAATAAATATTTTGTATAAAAAATACAAAATTGTGACACAAGGCTGAAGAGGAAGTGGAGGAAAAGCTGGTCTTTCACTAGCTATTCTATTCCTAGTTAATCACAATCACAATCCATTCATTCAATACAATATAATCAATCACCACAAGAACTTGTCCATCACCTTCCAATCCTACATGTACCATAATACCACATATTCACAAGGGATCTACAAAACACTCCATGTGAATACAGTAGAGAATAACGGTCCGTACCTCTCATATATGCGTTTCCTCTATGGTCACGTGGTCTACTTAATTCAATAATGGGATCGCCTGTGTTTGCTCACTGGCGATCTATGTTCAAACTCAAATGTCGGCAGCGACATTTTATTCACATATAACAACTAGTTGCCAATTTAGTAGCGTATTTAAATACATGCAGTCGATGCACAAAGAGAAAAAGCTCAAGTGTAATGAAGTAACAGCGATAATTTAAAGTATAATTTTTGATTTAATATTTTTTGAACTCATATCCTCCTGATGTTAGAATAAATTGACACCCTCTCTTTTATAAATATATTGTGAACATTTTGATGAGAGTCCGTATCTTCTTGGTTTCAGATGAAAACTAAGAAAAAATTCAACATATTCCAGTCAAATTGTTACTTCCGAAAATGATAGCTTATGGTTATATCTCAATGTCTGCGATGAGAACATCGTTATTTACAATATTTGCTTTCAGACTATTGTCCTTATTTTTGTTGTTATTATCATCTGATCGCCTTCTGCCTAAATTACTGCGATGAGAAGTTATCATTATTAACAGTATCTACATTCATACTATTGTCCTCATCTTTATTTTTATAATCACGTGATCGCCTTCTGACAATTTCTGTCATGTGAAGTTATTATTATTTACACTATCTATGTTCAGACTATTGTCGTCATCTTTGTTGTTGTTGTTATCTCAACGTTTCGGACGTTGTGTCTTCCGGCCTCACATCAGGTGTATGTCGATCCGCGTAACCTATAGCGATTTCAAAACTTTTTTTTATCATATCACGTCATTCAAGGCAGTAAAGTCATTAAGAAACAAGGGGTTACTGAGTGTGAAAGAATAAGAAAAAAAATAGAGAAACATTATTAAGGAGCGAGAACAATAGAAAAGTAATCAAGAAGACAGTAGATAACGTTTGACATTGCATTTAAATTTTTGAAGATCAAAGTTGACTGGTAAGCATGGAACCAGAAGAAAATTCCCCAAGAGAGTTCGGCTTGATCTGACTCTTGTAATGATACTGCCTTACAAGAAGAGTCAACTACTTTCTGGTATGCTACAAGTCACCGACGAGACGGTCAAAGCTAGGTGTGTGAAGAATTCATTGTAACAGGTGAGAATTCAGGGTCATCTCGGTGACAATGAAACGTTACTAGCTTTTTTTTTTAGAGATATTTATGGTTGCATACCAGTGTTTTACCCAATGGGTTCTTAGAGCAAAGGTCAGAAGAGTGATCAGCTACCAGGACCGGGTCATCTAGACTTTTGGGAGGTACACAAATCTTCGTCTCGCATATTTTCTGTTCATCATGTTTTTAGCTTTTGTCGGTTGAACCATATCTCTGTAGTGGCTTACGGTCACATCACGTTGAAATATCGGTCCCCGTACGATCACTGAAGTTAAGCAACGTCGACCTTGGTCAGTACCTTGATGGGTGACCGCTTACGGATACCAGGGTCTATAAGCTTGAATGTATGGGCGGTGTAAGGGACAATGGCTATGAATTGTTAATCAGAGAGCCCAGTTTCAGTTGGGTCCGTTATATGCACTTAGATATAAATACCTTTAGGAAAGTTATGAATCCACCTAGTCTCCAACAACTATGGGTTAAATAGTAAGACTCGTATCAGTAAAACGATTATTATCTAAAAAAAAATCTAAAATTTGTTTTGGCCGTAACCATCCTGCAAAGGGTTGATAAGCCGTAAAAACAAATCAATATATCTAGTCTGAAGTCTCTTTCATCTATGAGGTGATTGCCCAACATTTAATGTCATGGAGGAGATTAGATATAACACAAAAACTAAGCAGGTAATTCATTAAGTGTATTGATATAGTTGTACAAACTAATAAATATACGAAACTAAATCTCTCATTGCTAAAATTATTGCTTATTCAGCACCGGACCGCGCCGATTAATATCGGTAAATAGGTGTGTGGCATTTGGTACTTTCTTCGAACGTGGATTCTTCTTGCATGGATGTAAAATACTTCTTTCTCTTCTAACTTTCGAGTGGAGCTCTTATATCTCCCTATCAGTCAGGTATACCACATATGCACATCCTAACCACAGTTGGGTATACCAACTGTTTACATGTCAGGGTTAACTATTGACAACCAGTGAAGGTGCGAATCAGCACCCGGTGGCTAGGAGGTCATCTTCCAGATCAACGCGCTGGTGTTCGTGGTTTTTCTGGTGTACTAAGCTCACTCCAAATGATACAAAAATAAAATTTTGCACTTATTTTTGTATAATTTGGAGTGAATTTAGTACATACTGCGGTCATCGAAAATCAACTTTTATACGGAGGGAAGATTTTTTTTATTTTTTTTATTTTCATTAAATTTTATTCAAGCCATCTGGTATTTCCTGCCGTGAAACACATACTGCATCAACTCATCCAGCTTAAGTAAAAATAAATGACAAGTTATTTTATTTTCGACAATATCTTTATTGAAAACATATTTCTCGTGTTAGACCGTCATCTTTTACCAAAATTTATGCAATTTCATAATACAACTTTCTCATAATTTTGTCTTTTCCTAAGCAAAATCTAATCTTGTTGCCTTTCTTTGGGAATTTCAATCGTTTTTTTTTCGTTAAAAGCTTGAACAAAGTGCTAATCCAAATGTTTAATATATTATGAATACAGCGAACGTGTGAAAACTCAACCATTTTGCAGACATCTTTGCTTTATCACGAAAGAAACATGACGTCCAGTATTTTTCTCTTCATTTTGACTAATTCCAGGCTTTTTTTTCCTGTCGATTGCTGCCTTCAGTTGATCCATTGAGAAGACACAGTTACTAGAATCACGTGTTTGTTTTACGCAGCTTCATCCACTTTAAATAATGATCAACCATTTATTTGGTTGGTTTATTTTAACAAAATAAAAAAAGCAAATCATTTTGACATGTTCCTTCCCAATAAATTCAACAAATCCTTATTCAGTCTTTCAATACTTTTTTTTTTAATATATATATATATATATATATATATATATATATATATATATATATAT